ATATCGACAAAAAAGGACGAGGGAGAGGGCAAGAAAATATGAGAAAAAGTCTCAGCAAACAGAAAGTAGGTCAGGAGAAAGAGACAGAAGGACGTAGGGCAGTAAGGGGATTTTTTTTCCCCTGATGATGTTTTATGATACACAGATGAGGAAAGACGTCATGGTTTGCGGATTTCTAGGGTAAAAAAATTAAGGGTACAAACTTTATGTACAGCGGAGAACTTATTAGTTGTGTAGGTCGAGTGTTCACAAGTCCGCAGAATGGACGTACACTAATTTGGTAATTATGTGCTTCAATATAGAAGTTGGCTTAATAGGGTATGATTATTTAGAATTAGAGTGAAGTAACTGCAATTCGACTTCGACTTTTTAATTAAAAATCTTGAATACTTTGAGGGGGGGGTTTCTTATTTTTGATATTTTATATTTTTATTTTTGTATCTGTTTGTTGTTTATCGTACATTTATTTTTATAAATCAGAGATATGATCAAGATCCCCATTTTTCCGCTCATAGTCTTCAGGATTAACTCCTTGGCTTTATACAGGATATGTGTCTTAGATTATCCATTTTAATCCCTAACCTTCACAGTGTTGTTCGTCCCTTGTGGTTATGGCAGTGAATAATGATGTTACTGAGGCTAACTGTTGGCCATAACAGAGATGAATCACCTAGAAGACCTATTTACCCCTACCCTACCCCTTCCCCCTGCCCCACCTCCTGTCGCTCTTTCCCTCTCTCCCTCTCTCTCTCTCTCTCTCTCTCTCTCTCTCTCTCTCTCTCTCTCTCTCTCTCTCTCTCTCTCTCTCTCTCTCTCTCTCTCTCTCTCTCTCTCTCTCTCTCTCTCTCTCTCTCTCTCTCTCTCTCTCTCTCTCTCTCTCTCTCTCGTTTTCCTTCTTTCATCACCATCTTCCTCTTCTTTCCCTTCCTACTCTGTCATTTACCTTAGATTTTTGTGCAGTAGAATCCATTTATGGTGTTATTTTTTCGTATCGACTATAGGCACATAGAATAGGGGGGGGGGATGTGTATGAGGTAACGTTACTGCAAGAGGGACATGACCGGCAAAGACAAGACTGAAAGAGGTGACTGGCAAGGACATGACTGAGAGAGATGATCGGCAAAGACATGACGGAGATTACAAGCAAAGACATGACAGAGGGAGATGACTGGCAAAGACATGACTCGCATAAACATAACCGAGAGATATAACTGGCAAAGACATGACAGAGGGAGATGACTGGCAAAGACATGACTCGCAAAAAACATAACCGTGAGATATAACTGGCAAAGACATGAGTGATGTTTCATTTAAACTGGAAAGGAAACCGTTTGAGTGGGTTCTGGGAGCCGGCCGATAGGAGCCTTAAGCAGAGGATCTCCAGAGATTAAATGGCTTACGTGATTTATGGTCTTGAGTTTTTTTCTTTTCTCTTTTGTTTTCTTTTTTTTGGGGGGGGAGTGGTTGTAGTGTTATCTTTCTCTTTACGCTTGTGTCGTTTTGCGTTAGTATGTTTTTATAAATCTTTATTTATATATTTTTATATTGATTATTTATTTATTTATCTATCTGTACATCTATTGCTCTCCTTTCTCTCTCTTTTTTTGTTGCCGAGCATTATGGACTCGACTTTTTGTAAGGCTGATTTTTTTTTTCCTCAGGGATTATGAAGATATTGCGAACGGGAGATTTTAGTCTTCGGTGAAAACTACATTATAAGTCTCTCTCCCACTCGCTCTCTTGATTTACATATAATGATTACTAAGAGGAAAATTCACCCGGGCTTTTTAGCCTTCTAGACTTTAGGTGATGTAAGAGTCTTGCTAAAGAGCCTTTATTTCACCCGCGAGAAGCCTTTCCAAATGTCTACAGTGAGACGACCTTTTGATGGTTCTTGCTGACAAAGGGTCGGCACTCCTTTAAATTTTCCAGTATCACACTCGCGTACCTTTCATACAAGGCTTCTGCTGCTGCGCCCACTCCTCTTCCGATCCCCGCTTTTTCTTCGTCTGCTTGTACTTTGTTTTCCCCTTTTCTTCCTTTCTTGTATTTGTTTTCGTTCTTCTTCTTTTCTTCTTCTTCTTCTTCTTCTTCTTCTTCTTCTTCTTCTTCTTCTTCTTCTTCTTCTTCTTCCCCCATTACTAAAACAACCACTGCTACTACCAATCTTCCTCCCCTCCTCGTCCTTGTCTTTGTCTTTGTCCTCCTCTTCTTCTTTCTCCTCTTCCTCCTCTTCTTCCTCCTCTTCTTCCTCCTCTTTCCCCTCTTCCTCCTCCACCTCTTCTTCTTCTTCTTTCTCATTCTCTTCCTTCTTTCTTTACTCCACCACCTCTACCTCTGCCCGTTTTTTTTCTTTCTTTTCTCTACCTACCCTTACCTCCTACTCCATCCCCTTCTACCATCGTGTACTCTCCTTCTACCATCCCACGTCAACTGCCCCATCATTTCCTTCTCCTCTCTTCTCCTCTCTCTCTCTCTCTCTTTGTTCTTCCTCTTTTCACTCCACTCCCCCTCCTCTCTTCCTAACTCTCCTTCTACGCCCAACCAGCCCCTCCACACCTTTTTTCACCCCCTCTCCCTCTCCAGCGAACCGAGGAGGAGAGACACCGCCAAAGTGAATATTAAGCACCTGAGCGAGAGGACTTAACGGCACTGCGGTCTGATCTTGGCTGCAGTGCCACCCCCTCCCCTTACCCACCTCCCCCGCCCTTCTCCCACCTCTTCATGGATCGTCTTTTTCTACCTGGCCTCGTCCTTAGCAGAGATGATTGTTAACCGGAGTCGTCTTGTCTTTGGTTTCGTTGTCGTCGTTTTCCGTTCGTTTGGAGTCTTTTGGGGCTGTGGTTAGTTGTGTCCGGCGCTGCAGTATTACTGAATTCTCGGGATATATATTCTAGGCTGGGTGTATCTGCTAGATAGGTAGAGAGGCGGGTGTTAATGATTTATTATTTCTAACATTTCTCTTTTTTCCTAAATTCAGAACACAAACGCAACGAAAAAATACAAACGCAGATAGAAATGACTGTGCCGTACATTCCTCCCACGAGAAAATCGAGATAAAATCTTTGAAATAAGGCCATTTGTCCGAACGCTTGTCAAATGCATGGTGACCATCCCCCGTGTAGGCCTAAATGACTCTGACACGCCGACCATTGAGTCATTAATCATACTCCGAGTCAGGTGTTCTCAGGTCGCCGACTCACCAGCGGTTGTAAACAGATTATGATGGATGCCAGTGCGCCCCTATGCTAGTTGAGCCAGGTCTGTGTGGGATGTCTTACGATGGTAGGTTTCGTATGATGTATGTATAAATTCAGGCTTCAAAATGGCGTCGGGATATTTGTATGCATTATGGTAAGCATAAGCAAGAGTACATGTTTATACAATTCGTAACTAGCTCACGCAAACACACATACATACACTTGGAAATACATAGATAAAGGAATCTAAAAATACAATATACGATTTACAAACGCGCACACACACACGCGCGCTCGCGCGCGCTAATAGGCCATCACTTAGTGTCCACAAGGTAATTAGTTACACATGATTTGTAAGTATGGTAAGAAATAGAAAGCATTTAAAGTGACAAGGGAGATTAGTGCCCCTCCCTTCACTCTATCCTGTCATATAGTGCGCTTGACAGTCTGTCTATAAGTAAATTAGGAGTGTTTGAGGTACCAAACATTTAAAGTACTTGTATCATGGCGATATCAACTAAACTTTTGACATTCAGACGCATATATCCATTCCTTCTTTTATTATTTCTGTTATGTACATTTCTTTATTCAATAATCATTTAATGGTAGAAGCTGTTTAAACAATTACCATGCCTTTTCTGTTTTACGTCCTCGACTTCTATCACGCGTGTATTCAACGTGGCCTTTCTTGCCTGACACGTGTAACACCCCACCCCCCAAAACCAACAGAATTTAGCCTTACAAGACTTTATTTTTTCTTTAATTTTATAGGCTTTCACAGTCAGTTTGCATGATTGGTAGTTCCCCCGCACCTTTAAAAAATACTGTTAATTTAAATTCGTTCGCCCTTGAATAGAGAGATCAAGTTGCTCTAAAATGCACGTTGTTATAGTGTTCATATGACACCGATTTGATTAGTTTAGCATTCCAAGCAGTCTTGATAGAACGCAAGCGACATTCGGCCTTATGGCGTGTAGCAACGTCCTACTGTCAAAATCTCTTTGGGAAATCTAAAGAGAGACATACAGGCCATATATGTAAAGCAAAATAAACGACGGAAACCTTATCTCTGTATCATTTATATACGGCTAGGAGAGTAACGCCCCTTTGTGTTAACCTGTGAGTTAAGTCCCGTCACTAAACTCTTTCTAACTTTGGCTTCATCTCTAATGTAGCTTCTGCCCTTGTGTCACCTCTTGGCACCGACCTGGCACTAGTGAGGGTGGGACTGGGGGAGGGGAGGGCTCGAGGGAGGCGAGGAGAGGAGTATAGGGAGAGGGGATGTAAGGGGAGGGGGGATATAGGGGGAGAGGGGCCAGAATGGGAGGGGGTTTAAGGGGAGGGGTTTTGTGCCCCGACATCTCCACCTCCACCTCGTTCCACACCCATAAAACCCTGTGTGAGAACCAGAGACGTGCGTGTGTGTGTGAGCGCCTGGCATCAGTGATGAGGAAGAGCGGGCAACACTCGCTCGGCCGTCGCTCTTTTCCTCCGTTGATAAATTAACGCAAGTGGATTCAGTGTCTTGCGTCTGTGTCTTCGTCTTCGTCCGAATTCTTTGGTTTTAGTGTCATTTTTAAGTTTCATTTTCTTCATTATTTGCCCCTTTTATCGCATTGTGGTCTGACGCCTCGGCATTGACAGTGATTCATCGAATGCGAATGCCATTTTCTGTTGAATCTTTCTTTATTTAAATGGTATTCCCTTAATTGCGGATGAACTATCGAAAATCGAAAAAGAATAGAGGAAAGAGAAGAAGAGAAAGGAAGTGAAAGCATTAACCTCATCTCTTCTTTGTAG